ATCTTCTTCCTCCCCTCGGATTCATGATGAGGAACCTAGTCAGTTCGCTGTGTACCCAAGCATAGATGGTTTGCTTTGCATGTACGGTAAAACCTCGTTATTTCGGTATTTGACCATTCGTAATTGCGGATAATTCGGCACGGCTGCGCTGTCGTCATATATAGAGTATATTAGTAATTCGCCATGAGCCGATTTGCCGTACCGAATGGTCCAATTTCGGCATGCACGTGGAGCATACCGAAATTGGACGCGTGTGGCGAGCGTTAATGCAGACATGTTGCTTTGGACTTTGCCTTGTTTGTGCAATCTGTGCAAGCCAGGTCTCTCAGACATGCCGTCTCCACCTACATCAAGAAGTCATAGAAAGGGATTGAAGTCTAAATCCCTTAGTCTGCGAGACAAATCCAAAGTTTTGGATAGAGGTCAATGCGTATGGTGAATGAGTTTTGACAACAAATTTGGAAGAAAAATATTATTGGGGCAGGAGGCACTGGGGAGTACCATTGTACATAATTCTAAATATTAGATAATTCGGCAAGGCCAGAGCCCCAACCGTACTTGGTGTATCGGTGCCTTTTGCGCGTTAAGTTCTTCTTTTTGCCAGATAAAAATAATAACAAAAATGTGAAGATCGCGTTTGACAATTCCACACGCGTTGGATGTAATCATCGTTGATGAAGATGTCGCCGTGCAGATCGCACTTGACCATGATCGCACAAAAAACGACGTGGATTTGTTTTTTTACAATGTGACGGAACTCATTCATGCGGCCAGCCCTGCAAGTCCAGCTGTTTCCAGTGAAGTGCATTCCCGACGACATGTTAATTCAAACGCTGGTTCCCATAGCATGGGTTTTATTGCCCAACCCATCTCATGTCCCCCAATCCCGGCAGAGCGACCTTCTGCTCAGTGAGCGCCCGAGTCATTTCAAGTTTTCAAGTTTCATTTATTAGGTATAGCCCTGTGAGCCATGCGGCTCTTGAGTCGGGTGCAACCGCAACAAACAAAATATGAACAGGGAAACATCTTGAAGCGACGACGCGCATCAGAAACATCCTGGGATAAACCAGCAAATCTTCCAGAAAAAGAAAACAACACCGTATTACAACGCTGTGTGCAAAACTCCCAGTGTGATGCAAGACAAACAATAACAACCATGAGACAATTTAGATTGAAGTCATCAGGCCAACTCCGCACTTCCGCAAGAAACATGGCTTAACCATACGTTTTAGAAATCACCAAAATAAAGATATCAAATACAATGTAACAACAGCAATCAGAAATCTAAGCGCTCGCAATCACGGCGGCGGCGGCGGCGTCTTGAGCGGTCATGTGACCGTCAAGAGAGTCGGACAGCCGTGTCTGTCCGCGCGCCCCGTTATATATCCTTGCCCGCCGTCTAAGAGAATATGACGCGTCATGTTTGTCACGACAGGTAGCTTGCGATCTATCTCACCCCGGCCGGCCGCAAGCGCTTTGTGGCTTGCAAATATATGTGTGTACGTTCGCCTCCAAAATCGCGGTGTGGTGGCGGTAAATTGGACATTGAAGTGGCCGGACTTGACAAATATGTTTTTTTATTTAACTTGAAAATGCCCGTGAGTTTTGTCTTCTACATATTAACAGTATTTTTTGTATTTTTTATTTTACAAAACTATTAACAACCTTAAACAAAACAAAAACATTTACAATAGAGCATCAATTTTACCAAACCGTCATGGGTTGGGTCATTAAATAGCTACATTTGCCAAAATAATTTATTTATGTTCTACAATGCTGGATCTTTGGCATAATTTAAGTTGTGTTCCTCTGCGAGCTATGACGCCGTACAATACCGTTAATGTCATCCAGTCTAAATCGTATCCAAATTATAGATGAGAAATTATACATTTGTAGCGTTAAAGGTGACCACAGAATGAATCCACCTAGAAATAAATAAACCGTGTTGCATGCATTATTAAAAATAATTGTGCGTCTGTAAATCAATGATGTATAGACGTACGGTGGTGTACAGTTCCATCGCCCTTTTAATGGGTGCCTTGTCAAACATTATTCTAAAACCCCAGGGGATTAGCATGGTGAGAAGTTTTTTTCATTTGTTTTTTTTCTGATCCAGGTCAATGGTTATTGTTCATACATCGCTCATCAATAACACAGGTCCTTGGCTTCTGCTGCTCGGATTGTTCCCTTGCTCAACTCTGCAATGAAAACGACTGAAGGGCCGTGACTGACAGCCGGACAAATGTATTTTCTTGCAATGTACATCTATTGAGAAGCTTTAAACAAATAAATAAACATCTACATGTTATTGTAGCATCTATCTCGGTAGAAAAACAAATGTCACAGAACCTTATAAGACACTGCTTCTGGGATATGTAAAAATATATATTCTCAGAATAACCTAGAAAATACGAACCGGGCAGGTGGCTCAGCGGTAGAGCTGTTGGCATGAGTGATGTGGGATGCCGTTGGCATGAGTGATGTGGGATGCTGTTGGCATGAGTGATGTGGGATGCTGTTGGCATGAGTGATGTGGGATGCTGTTGGCACGAGTGATGTGGGATGCTGTTGGCACGAGTGATGTGGGATGCTGTTGGCACGAGTGATGTGGGATGCTGTTGGCACGAGTGATGTGGGATGCTGTTGGCACGAGTGATGTGGGATGTTGTTGGCACGAGTGATGTGGGATGCTGTTGGCATGAGCGAGCGGCTTGCAGTCAGAGACTGGGGGTTGGCTCAGCCCATCATAATGAAGGTCGATTAAATAAGTACCGCATTGTGGGGAAAGTCAACAGCGGTTGTTCTACGGATAGCTTTAACCTCTCTATAGGAATGTGGAATTTCCACCACAAGAAGACACCGCACTTAGTCCCGTGAACTTGGGCAGCACACAACGTACGAGGAAACGGCAACTGGACAAAATGCAAGACCGAAAAGGAGCCGAGGAATGAAAGAACCATAAAGGAGAATGGCCATAGGGGAGCTACATCAATGAATGCAGGGCGTGTGTGTGAGCGAGATGTGATCAGCATGTAAGCCATTTGATATTATTACGATCAAAAGAGACCTTCAGACACTATCGAAGCGTGTGGCACCGGTGCCGCACACATTCCCGTCATGTCGCGGCAAAAGTCTATCGCGTTAACTGCTCAGCAAACCGCTCGTGCGCCGACTTCATTGCGAGCGTCAATCCCGCTTTAGAGAATCCACGTCGAGAGGCAGGCATCGGGCCGTTGCGAGCATCATGCTCGCCAAGGCTGGAGAGTGACGAGCGAGCGATTTGGTGGGTCAACTGGAGAGGGATCGGCTGTTTTTGGAGTTTTCGGAGTGTCGTCACAAACACACCGCTGCAGTGTTCTTCTGTGCATCGGGCATTATGACGCACGCGTACAGCCCATTTAGTCAATCCGCTGCTGTATGAGGGTCTCCTCCAAGCCTTCTGGGGCCGTGTTGTTTGACCCTACTTTACTGCGCTGGTCGGCGTGGCTGGGTGAAGGTGGCGGGAGTGCACAACAGTGGATTTTTCTGCACTGCCCCCTACTGACCTCAATGCCTACTGCACCGGTCTATTAGCACTTTGTAGTCACCTCATTCAAACAGCATCCCAGGCTCGAATCTGCTTGCCTTCTGAGATCTGATTAAAAGAAAAACACGTTTATTAGTAACACTCACTGCCTTAAAAAGAAAAGTAAAAAAAGGTGATTTTTTTGAGGGGGGGCTTTGGCCATTTTCCTGAGCACATAAAACGCTGTGATTGTGCTGTGAAGAAGGTCCATTACCCGAAACGCCACCTATTATAGATTATTTCATTTCAAGGCAGTGCTATTGATGAACATGTTGACTTTTTTATTCTTGTGCCTGTGCACCACTGCCAATGCAGCAGGATCGCCAACGATTTTGAGATCTCACAAGGATCTGGGAGGTGCATTCCAGATTACCTGGCCGCAGGCTGAATTTATAATAAAATAACAAAATACAACTGCAGACCGTGGGACCTCCGTTGGGATTATTGCTTTATAAACAGATTGAAGGTAAGCAGGGGGGAAAACTAAGGAGATCATAGCTGTCAGCTGTGAGCGATAGTGCGTGTTCAATTGCTGTGATGGACATTTTACAGCGTCGCCGAAAAATGAAGGCTTGGAATGCTACACATAGGCACCAGCACGTAGCAGCTGTCAGTTTTGCATTGCCAGTTATTTGTGTTGTGCATTCACAGTCCTTACATTTTACAAGGCAGACCTCGTTGAGATGCAGGAATGTATGCTTTGTGCTGAACTTATGTATGTAATTAACAAGATACCCTTATTTGTAAGCCGGTAAGAATCCATTGAGATTCAATGCCTCTTTATAGCGGAGACTTGGGATTTTAAATTCAATCAGGATGTCTTGTATGCAAGGCCTTTGCCCTCACCCACTGAACGATTCCCTCAATGTGGCTTTATATTTACTGCTAATAAGCAAACTCATCCATTAGGCATGTAACATATCTCCCCCAGCGACGTAATGAAACATCTCGATTTGGGGGGGGGGGGTCACAGTTCATCGTAAGAAACACTTTTCTTTTGTCCCCTTTGTACCATTTCGTTTTTTCTGCTTCTCAACGTTTCTGTCTTTGTCCGGTATAATCCGCTCCATTATTCCCAGTGTAGCATTCACCTGTCACCTGCGTACTTTTTAAAGAAGTAATGGTCACACGCGCGATTTAACCAATCGTTAAGTAACCAATCGGAGGAGCTTGTTTTGACTTCTTGATTATCCTTGTCACGTGGTACCCACCACGTCAGGTGAGTATCGTTGGTAGCGATACAATCCGTACACACTCTTATCGCACCGTGAAAGATGAGATGGCGGCGATCTGAGCTGCCCGCCGAACAAGCGGAATGGGTGGAATCGCCTTCGCCCCAGGGAGCTCATGGTGGCTCTTCTATTGAAAGCGCTTACGGGAAAACTGTCAACATTACTGGCTGCTTTAGATGTTTTCTTTCTCCTCTCCTTTGCAGAGAGATGCACATGGTGGACGCGGTGAACTGGCACAAGATGAGAGGTGAGCAGGGCAGGGGGCGTGTGTGTGTGTGTGTGAGAGAGAGACACTGATGTGCTTTGTTACCGTTAGCCGGCTGCTGAGAGCTTCCCACCTGCCCCTGCCGCCTGTAGACTGAACGGGTCCTTTTGGGGAGATTCATTTGTTTTACGGTGAGATTCGTTATTGGTTTTATTGGCGGCCCCTTTTGACTCCACGTGATGGCACATTAAAACTAATTGGCTTTTCGTAGGTAAACACATACCAGGTATATGTGGAGGGGAAAAAAACACTCCGCAAATTCGTCTGTAATACTGTCTTATGAGGAAAAGTTTATGATATTTAATAGGTGACGTTTTGGAAATTGGTCCATCTTCATAGCACGTAAATCTAATTGTTTATAAAAGCATATGCGGGCACATTGTTACAATTTACGGGACACGTGTTGACTGCTGACGGGCAACGGTGGTACGGAGGTTTGCACGCTGCCATATGAAGCTGGTAACCCCAGTTCAATTCCCGGACACGGCTAACATCAGTGGCGGGTGATATTTGAAACCAGTCCTTTTCTCTCGCAAACCCACACTTATCAGCACGGCGAAACATGGTAAAAAAATCTAACCGTAACCAACAGTGCGGTGAGGCCTCAACCTAGTGGTGAGGCCTTCATCTAGCGGTGCATTGGCAAAGGGCTGTAAACGCGTTTTTACGGTTAATCTTTAAGTTGACTGTCAAGAACGCTAAGTGAGATGGGCAGGACTCGCTGCTGTTTCAAGGTTTGATGGCCAGTGGATCAGAACCTTGAGAGAGGTTCCGTCAAAGGAGGGAACGACGCCTGAGAGGGTGACCACCGTGGATAGTTTTTGTCCCGAAGAGCAAAGGATGGAGTGTGGTGGTACAGAAACGTGGGGGGATAACAACGGCGTGGGGAGGCCTTCGTGCAGCAGTGGATAGAGCATGGCTGATAATGAATTTGGTGTTATTTGGAATTTGACCTACAGAAGTTGTTCACGATGGCCTACGCCTGTAATCGGTGACGACGTAGGTCCCTTTGACCTTTACCGCAGACGGCGGTTACGGAAATCAAACCGCTGCATGTGTAAACCTACCCCATGGCCAAATCGCCGACCACTCGGCCGCTTGACTGCCACATCCCTGTACAACCGGGGGGATCTAGAATGTTCTCAAATGACGTGGTCGTTCTCAATGGCTGTGGACATCTGCAGGGGTATTTTTTTTTAAAGGACTTCTCTTTGAAATACTCCAAGCATCCTGGCCAAACAGCCGCACTGAGATCGAGGGGTATTTTTCAGGAGTGCTGCACATCCCCTCCTTAACCTCTCTCCCGCCTGTTCTCCTAAACTGTCACCGCAAGTACACCACCACTTTTATCTCGACCACTGTCATCTTACGTACAATTGTATGATTGCTGTAAAGCACCTTGGAATAAGACGCTGTATGTACGCATGGATGTTGAACTGTTATGTATAAGATAAGATACCTAAATACAAACGTGTCTCTCGCCCTTGAAGACGAAACATAGCCTGGGCAGTCCTCTGCGCCGTGTGCACCTTTATTACAACACTCCATTCCAAAAGTAGCTCAAGTGGCACATTATTAGAGAACAGGTATGCAAGAAAAACATTGAAGTAGAATTTATGACATATGAAGTGAGGCTAATTTTATTTAAATTGCAAATTCGACTTGATTGGGGATTGCTGCAATTAGAGTGTATCAAAGAGATTTGCTTTATTTTAGTGCTCCTGTTTTGGTGGTGCATTTTAAATGGAGTGTGCAAACTCGCGTGGCATGTGCTATTATGAATTGGTGTAATTACGATTCCCTCTGTAGTTCAACTAAGCTGTTGTTTCATAAGAGATCTGTTTTGATTATAACGGCCTTAAGCACCAAAACGCACACAATGATATTCACATGAATAATTAACCTGCACATTAAAGGGGTGCAGAGCGTCAATCAATATACAACTGACAGCCCAATAACTCAAGAATAGTGACAATTTGGGGGTGGGGGGATAACAAAATAAACGAGGCCTGAATCTTCTGACTCTTCTGCGAAGTGTGGCAAATTACAGCCAGACCTGCCAAGTTTTATACCACCACACCTCCTGACCCACCTCCTTCCCCCCCCCCATCCCCCCGTGCCATACAGCTGCTGCGAAGTGTGGCAAATTACAGCCAGACCTGCCAAGTTTTATACCACCACACCTCCTGACCCCCCCATCCCCCCGTGCCATACAGCTGCCCTTTTTCGCCACCTCGATCTCGTGAACTTTGCTCCCTCTGACGGAAGCGTGGCTCGCGCCTCCCTAATCACGCCGATAAGCTGCTGCTCGTTACGCTTCAGCCAGTGGGGGCGGCGGGATGTGGAGGGGTCCGCTCGGGGAGCCGCTCCGACCAGGCCATCAGAATGAGAAACGGGTTTCATAAAGGAGCCCCGTTGCACACGAGGGCCGTGGGACGGCGTGAAGGCGGCTCGTCGCCAGGAGAGCGCTCCCCCCTCCCCCCCGCCTCTGTGAAGGAGCTGCGGGCGATGCTGCTGCTGCTGCTGCTCCGGCAGCGGTGGCGGCGGCGGCGGCGTAATTACGACCCTCCGCGCACGAGTCGCGCGTTTGGAAGGATTCATTTAATAACGCCGCGGGCGCGTCAAACGTTAGGGAGCGACGGCTGCCGCGGCGCGCCGCTGTTTTATTCGCCCGTCGTGTACAAACGTGCTTTTGATGGCTCTGGAGCGGACAGCGGTTTTTCTCCTTCATTATTTATTTTATTGTTAATTATTATTCTCCCCCTTCCACGCTCCAATGCAAGTTTACCTTAAATTACGCGCGGCTGTGATGCCGAAGCTCAGAACTGGAGGTCATGTGAGCTGTGGGAGGTCACGCCGAGCGGCTCGTGCCGAGCGCGGGCCAGAGTCATTCGGCGGGAATCGCACGGAAAAAAAACATTAGTCATTCAATTAGCGCCTTCTCTCCCATCTGGCATGGGACCTCTTGAATTCCTGGCTGGGCCCACATAGCCGCTGGCATAAATTTAATTTGCACAACATTAATATGAAACCCTCTTTCGACGACTTTATTTTTTTTTCATTATACGCCCAGCAGTGGCGAAGTTTTTATTAGAAATTATCAAACATTGTGCCGTCCACTGAGAATACTGCAGAAGAAACGGTTTTGATTAAACGTGGCTTCATAGGTCTAACTAACATGCCGCTCTCCCTTCAGACGAGTCAAGTGTGCGGGTCAGAGTAAGCAAACTTCCAAGTGGAGATCCAATCAGGACACCGCAGTGCTGAGTGTCGTATATATTATTTTATTATTCCCCCCCCCCACCCACTCTTACACTGATGGTGCTATCGGTGTCACGTCACGAGGTGAAGTATGCATCGGGATCTCTCGCAGAGCAGGGCAACCAACTCCCTTTGTATTCTTAGCTCTTTCGGTAAAGTCACGTTAAAGGGAAACAACAAAATAATAATGTATATATAAAACAACAAAAATTCTCCCTTTAACGTGACTTTACCGAAAGAGCTAAGAATATGAATTACTGCAGTCACGAAAGCTTTAAATCAAAATTTAAAAACTCCCTTTGTGTTCGAGAAGGGGCCCACAGAAGCAGATATCACAGAGCTACGTCTGAGATTTTTTTCAAGTGACCTCTGTTCCACGCAGGAGAGTGTAGCACCTCACCACCCAAGAGTAATGTCCGTCACATGAGCGTCAAAGCAATATTTAAATTCTGAGAGTAGGAATTTAGTAATTAATTAAAAAAAAAATTAAATTTGATGGGGTTCTTTTTTGTCCAGTTGTTGGCTTCCGGAATGAGACCGTCAAACTCACGATTCCTGAAAACCCAATATAATCACAGGCAGCTACCTGGTTTCGAACCCAGGACCTCACCTGTGCCAGCTCAGTGCTTTGACCTTCAGAGCCACCTGAGCGATCTCATGCTCAGCGCCGACCGTGTCTTTGTCTACTCGCATGCAAAGGCTGAGCTCCGCAGGCCTGAGCGATGGCACAGTGGTCTGCACAGGGCGCTTATTAAAATGAGCCGCTGGGGCCGCAACCGTGATTTATTACGGTGATATAAATAAGCAGAGACGTGCGTGACAGCCGAGAACCAAAGGCATCTGTGCCCAACAGTTGTGGAACAGCAGCCAGGAAGAGGTCTCGCTGTGAGACCCAAACTTTACAGAGAAGGAAAATATAGAACCCGCAAACTCATATGGATTTTGGGAACTCATTTGCCTACTTTTGGGCTCCCCTGCCGCCAGACTATACTGGCTGGGTATTAGCATTGCATCCATACGAAGAATAAATGTCTGAAATAAATACAAAAAATATAAATCATGGTGCATTCCAAATTAAATTTATCTTTGAATAAATAAGCAGGAAAACCATGGATTGTGTGTTGCTTCCCAACGTGCGTTTGTCCTCGCAAGTTTTACGATAGTCATTGTCAGAAACGTTACCCACAGATTGCTCGATTGGGGTACGGTACACAAAGCAATCATCGCCCCGCATTGAACAAAAGCTTGCAGGACCCTCCTGAAAAGAGTCATGAGACTCGTTGAGGCTTCCGGGTAAATAAGTGTCGTAGTAGTAATAATCATCATCATGACAGTCATCATCGAGGTCGGGCCCTGCACCCCCAAACTATCTGTAGACCACGATGAGACCATGCGGCTTCGATAGCGGCTCTGCCTGGGAGGGCACGCCTCAGCCGGCACGGCCAGATCAGTGGTTCGTGTTCTTTTAGCGCTGGTTTGTGTCTCTATAAAGTTTAACGTAATCCTTTCAACAGGGTAAAGGCCTGACAGCAACAGAACTTTGTTTTTAAAGTTTGGTTCATATTGGATCATCTTCATGAGAGTTATCATGACCCCCCCCCCCCGCCTCTTTATGGATGGATGGATGTCTGTGACTACTGGACATCTGTGAAAAAGAGCTTTAGAGATCATCGAATTCTTCCAGTATGAATAGATATTCTGATTCATGCTTTGAACAGTTG